GTTTAGGTGTCTTCGTCCACGGGCAGGATAACAGTGCCACGGTTGAGCGTGGGAGCAGTGTCCAGTAGGCCAAGCACGCCAACTCTTGGTCAGTTATTCGAAATACTTTCTGTATAAACTAAAACACCTCTAGCATCTAAAGGCACTGAGTTTTCAGGACACTTTGCATGCTCACGATTTCCAGCATACATTCATTGAGTTATTCGTAGATGCACAATAATACACAAGAGCTATTAGTAGGTTTCCTTTGTTCTCATTGGTGAACGAGCAAAATCTAAAACTCAATTTTCAGGATCCCCGTTGTGTTTTTTAGGTACTCCATCAGTGCAGACAGTGGGGACCAAAGTGGGAACACCTGTGTCACTGACCGGCCAGCGCTTCACCGTTCAGATTCCCAACTCACAGGCTGCCTCTGTCAAATCAGGTACCAGGTTCCACCTTAGACCAAGCAGTTCTCTTTGTATGATCTTCTTGTATATTAAGGACCATGTGGATGATTTTGTGCCAAATCAGTGAGCAGGTCAAAAGTTAAGCTATTAATTGAGCTACAGTACCTGTCAAAAGTTTGGAAACATTACTTTTTTTTGTCTCTTATGCTCACAATGCTGCATTTCATAAACAATACAGTTAAAAAAAAGTAATATTGTGAAATATTATTACAATTAAAAATGTAATTTATTCCTGTGATGCAAAGCTGTATTTTCAGCGTCATTACGCCTGTCTTCAGTGTCACATGATCCTTCAGAAATCATTCTAATATGCTGATTTGCTGCTCAAGAAAGATTTCTCATTATTATTAATATCATTATACATTTTGAAAACAGTTTTTGCAGATTAACATTTGTGTGGAAACAATGATACCATTCAAACATTTGTGGTACGATTTAAAACAAAAAAGAAGAGAGAGAAATAAGTACTTTTATTCATCAATGAAGGGGACCTATTATACAAAATTCAAAGTTTTTGAACAGAATAATGTGTCCGTAGTGTGGGTACACAATCACCCTATTGTGGTAAAATTTCATCCACTTTTTGTTATTTTCCCCATAAATCTGAAACGGTGTCTCAAAACGAGCCGTTCAGAAATGTGCTCCATTGTGACATCACACATGCTTAGGCCCCGCCCATGACTGGTGACAGAGTCTGCCCTGTTAGCTTAGCTCCTCCCCTCAGTGAACTACACAGTCCGCCATGTTTATCTCCTCGCCAGAGCATTTAACAGCAGCATATTAGAGTAAGAAATGTATCCTTATTAAAGCTACTGTAGTTATTTAATCAAGAGCAGTGAGTGAAATTTAGTTTTTCTTTTTGTTATATGATTCATATTAACAGCATACAGTAGTAGGTACTGTATATTACGCTGCTGTCACTTTAATACACAGATCTAATATACACATGTGATTTCTTTACTTGCCGTTTACATTCACAGACATAATCGAACTTTGTGTGTTTTTGACATAACCTTGTGTGTATTTAACAGTTTAAGCGCAATAAGACGTGAAAGAGAACTTAGTTTAATTCTCACAGGACGCCGTCTGACATCCAGCTTTCTGTGCGCGAGCTTCGGATGTGTGCGCTCAGAAAACCATATAGACTGATATGGCTTTAAAACACATGCAGATAATAAACTTTCATGATGATGAAGAACTGAAATGTCAAATACATGCTGCTCATTGAACTTTCTATTCATTAAAGGGATAGTTTACTTTGGAATTAATTTTTGGTATGTTTTAGCTTACTTCAAGGGCATCCAAGATGAAGGTGTCTTTGTTTCCGCAGTAGTTTCAATTTTGATATTTTTAGGTCAAACCGTTCTTGTCTGTCAGTCATATAATGCAGGTCTATGGTCACTTCCTCAAAGAGCATGCACAGAGAAGTCCAAATTAAACATGATTTAATGACTCGTAAATGTAAGTACACATTGATGGCCTAAGACACGAAACGAGCGGTTTGTGTGAGAAAACGAACAGTATTTATATCGTTTTTACCTCTTGTAACCACAGCCACGTCCAAGTGATCTGAGGGCGCCAGCGCTTCGGTCTTTTCCGGAAAGCGCCGGAAGTGATCTCTCGCGCGTGTACGTCACTCATACAATTATTTTTTATTTTTTTTTTTTACGACGGTTTAAACATCCCGGATAAGCGCAAATTAGTACCATTTTAATTAGCCGTCTTACCTACAATCTCTGTTCTGTGTAAACAATGAGTGACGTACACGCGCGAGAGATCACTTCCGGCGCTTTCCGGAAAAGACCGAAGCGCTGGCGCCCTCAGATCACTTGGACGTGGCTTTGTTTACAAGAGCTAAAAACGATATAAATACTGTTCGTTTTCTCACACAAACCGCTCGTTTCGTGTCTTATGCCGAGTTCAGACTGCACGATTTTAGACCCGATTTTGGCTCGCCGACAGGTTTTGAGAAATCGCCGACAAATGCCCGAAATCACAGGCAAATCGGTGCTCGTTCACGCGAGTGACAATCACGTAGTGTGAATGAGCAAAGACGGGATCTGAGAGAATCGCCGACGAGTCGCCGACGCCCGTGAGATATTTGACATGCTAAATATCTGGACCTGTAGGCGATTCACAATCCTGCTGTGTGAATGTGTTCTAACTGAAAACTACATCGGCGATGACCGACAACCAATGAGAGAGGAAGATACAGGGAGGAGGAGGAGGAGTTATAGACCAGAATATCAGTATTTTAATAGATAGGACTATATTTACAATTATATCAAACAGAAACAAAGCACAAACATTTGCATGACCAGCAGCAACAGCAGGACATTTGCAAAATTATTTATTTACTCCCAACTCTCTTCGCAAAACACAGTCTTGCTCCCCTCGTTTTCCCAACCATTTCCTGCATAAACTGTTTTTTTTTTGTTTTGTTTTTTCATTTTCGCTACAAATCAGTGCACAGACAATTTGTAGGCTATCATTTTTAATAACAAATTCAGTGTCGCGCGAGAACTCCGGTCTCACGCACGCGTGATCTTCCGTTATTTCCTATCACTTCTCGCGTTTGTTTGGTTGTGAAACGTAGTTTGCGGACCAGGCAGAAGTTGTCGGCGATTCTTTCTTTTGTAAAGTCATGCAGTGTGAAACCTCCTGTCGCCGATCCATCGTGCAGTGTGAACACAGCAGCAACTGAATGTTACCCCAGATAGTCATGCAGTGTGAAAACAACAGTGACCCGATTATTTTGAAAATCGTGTAGTCTGAACTCGGCATTAGGCCATCAATGTGTACTTACATTTACGAGTCATTAAATCATGTTTAATTTGGACTTCTCTGTGCATGCTCTTTGAGGAAGTGACCATAGACCTGCATTATATGACTGACAGACAAGAACGGTTTGACCTAAAAATATCAAAATTGAAACTACTGCGGAAACAAAGACACCTACATCTTGGATGCCCTTGAGGTAAGCTAAAACATACCAAAAATTAATTTCAAAGTGAAGTGAACTATCCCTTTAAAGAATCCTGAAAAAAGTATGACCATTTCCACATTTTCAGCAGTACAACTGTTTTCAGCATTGATAGTAATAATAACAATAAATGTTTCTTGAGCAGCAAATCAGCATATTAGAATGGTTTCTGAAGAATTGTGTGACACTGAAGACTGGAGTAATGACTCTGAAAATTCAACTTTGCCATCCCTGGAATAAATTACATTTTAAAATATATTCAAGTAGAAATCTGTTCTTTTAATTTGTAATATTTCACAATATTACTGAGAGACTTCTTTCAAAAACATTTAAAAAAAAAAAAGAAAAGACTTGACAGGTACTGTGAGAGAAATAAAAACCTGACAGGCTTTAAGAACATGTAGTGAATTATGAATTTAATTTGTTTTCATTCACAGCTACTCCTACTACTCCCACGGTTCAGAATGTCCTCATCAACCCCTCTCTCATCGGCTCCAAGAACATCCTCATTACTACCAATATGGTGTCGCAGAATTCATCTAGTGACTCTACGTCTCTTAAGAGGAAGCATGAAGATGAGGATGACTATGATGCTTTATGACCTGCTGTGGTTTCTTACTAGTATTGAAGCAAAAGTGATTATGTAAATAAGCATTTGATAACTCTGAATTTGCCTTTCAGTAGTATTGTCTTGTTTAGAATATTACCATTGCATATTACCTTTTATTGTTAATTTTTGTAAGTAAAAAATAAATCAAATTAAAATGATAAATTGTTTAGTTGTTTTATGTTTCACAGACTTCATTTAGTGATTGAGTTACTATGGTGCAAAAAAATCTTGATCACCCTGAGCCAGTTTAAAAAATCAAGGGCAGTTTAATTATTTATATAATTTAAACTCAATATTAGGTGTAAATAAAACGTAACGTTCTTATGAAACCAATGAAATGCCAGCAGAGGGAGCTAGTTAAACAAGGGCTGTTACTCCAGGATGATGATGCTTATGGTATATTATACTGATGTAATTTAGAGGTAGCAAACGAGAACGGAACCACATTTTTACATAGAAACAAAATCGTATGTGCACATTAAAATAGCTATTATTAAATATGTATTTCGAAGTGTTTTTTCTAGATTGAGAACGATTGAAAATAAACAGATAATGCGGAGTTCATTTTAAGGTATTTTTTGTTATATTCTCATTGCAAATATTGCATATGTGTATCCCAAGCATGTTAACTGAAGTTCATTTTGTTTTCGTTATTGTTGAACCAGATAGGAGGGGGTTTTAATAGAGCTAATAAAATATGTTCCTTCTATTTTATAGTCCAGTAAGAACTTTTTAGGAAGACTGTATATCTCAATTTGATTTTTCATTCTGTTTAGTTATAATGATTTAGCTTTAATCTTTTAAAATGCGTCAGTCTTCTGATTGCATAAAACGATGAAACATCCTTCGGTAGTGCCGTAGACGTAGCGCAACTGTTTGCTGTTTACTTCACTAGCCAGTCACGTAGACTCTTACGTAAACGTCAAGAGCAGCTCTGTGATTGGCTTAGAAGAGTGTCAATCAAACCTCCTTCATCCAATAGTCTCGTTACTCGCTCTCAAACTATGGCGGCCATGTTGTATCCGCGGAGGATTGGAGGCTGCTCGGAACCGAGTCTCTCGTCAGTTAGGAGTACATGGTGAGGCTCTCGGGCTTGAACTCGTCTGGGTTTTACACCATCAGAGATCTACACTCCTCGCCATGAGCCGTCCGTCCTCGACGGGTGGTGCGGCTGGGGGACTCGGAGCTAGTAAAGCAGGAGGAAGTAAGCATGGAGGTTCTGGAGGAACAGCCGCAGCCACAGCCGCTGCAGGGGTCTCTGGCTCTGTCCCGGGCTCTGGTACTGTGCCCGCGGTCGCTGTAACCCTTCCAGCCGTTGCCCTACCGGGACAGTCAGCCGAACTGACAGCGTTGTTTGAATGCCCGGTGTGTTTCGACTATGTGCTGCCTCCGATATTGCAGTGCCAGGCTGGGCATCTGGTGTGTAACCAGTGTCGGCAAAAGCTCAGCTGTTGTCCAACCTGTCGCGGCCCTCTTACGCCGAGCATAAGGAACTTGGCAATGGAAAAAGTTGCATCTAACCTACCGTTTCCGTGTAAGGTAAGAACAACCCCCACGCACTGGTGAAATGCATTCACAACTTTCTTAAAAACCTATCCAGTTACCTGCCAGGTTGTTTCATTCAGTACTGTATGATGATGGTACACGGGCAGCCATGAGTTTAGGAAGTGTGCTCATATCCTGTAACTAAAGCTCAGATGCCACAGGTGTATTACACCAAGCCAAGAACATGCAGCGCATCTCCTTCATTCATATTTTCAGTCGCCTGAAGTGTGTATTTTGTCTGTTAAAATACTTTATCTATTCTTTATTATAGCTTAATATTCAGTTGTTCCTATAATGGATATCGTATCACTAAAATTCTAAATTATATTTTGAGCATCCCTACCAAACCCGACGTATCAACATTGTCTCAACCACATATGGTCTCAACCAGTGGCGTGTGTTTGGGGGCGGGGTTATCTTTTTGTTAAACTAATGACAAGCAGGGAGGCGGGGAGTGTTTCGGAAACCTGTGTGAGAACATTCATTGTTATTTTTTTGTGTTTTCGTTTGGTGACGCTAGGGGCGCAGAAATTACACTTAAGCTTTAAAATTTAAGATGGGGGACATATAGGCTGTGCCCTCATTCACTATTCCCTATACATTAGTCCACTAATATAGTTCATTTGAGAGAGTGAATGAAAACTAGTGAGTGAATTCGGACACTGAGTGTGCCAGAAAGGCTGCCACTTTTGCATTGCTTGCTGTTTAATAATCATTTGAAACTTTGCAAACTGGCAGCTCCAGTTGTAATGAAAAGATTTATCTTGAACTCAGTCATGGAAACTGTGTGAACCTTAGTTAAACAATTTAATAATCAGTTAAAAATAAACTTATACTTGTACGATATTACGCTGGGGCCACATTGAACCAGCGGTTTGGAAAATGGAAGGATGGATGGATGATTCTCGAAGCGTCATCTTCTGGTCTGACTTGGAAATCTATTTGGCGCACGACTCTCACAGACAGTGCATTATTCTCTAGTCGTTGAGTGTATATCAGTTGCACACTCGTTATTGTGGTGCATTGTGGGATTGAATGAGTGCACTCAATGTCCACTATGGTTTCACAGGCCCCCCATCATACTCGTCTGTACTGCAAGTAAAGACACTTAATGTCTATAACGATAAAGAGTCGTTTACAAGCTGTTTGCGCAATAAAGAGCTGCATGCCTCACCGCATACGATTAAAAACATTTTCAGGTTTTCCGCCTCATCCAGTGCTTTTTTTTCGTCTTATAAAGTTTACTGTTATTATTTCGGGGTGAGAAAGCGCTGCATACAATTCAGTGCTTGACTGAAGTGTCCAAATTAACCAAAATGAATCAAAAACATTTTCAAACTTTTTTGCAAACCTAGCAGTCCCACCAAGATTTCCTGAATTTCCTTTCTTTTTCTTTTTGCAGATTTTGTCATCAAATGACTGACTAATAACTGATTTTGTGGTGTAATTTCCAGAATTCAGTGGAAAATTTTCGTTTTTATAATTCAGATTCCATCACATTTACTATATTTCGATGTACAGTAGTCATACAGCCCAGAAAAATAACAATCATTTAATCTTTCATAAGATTATGGCAAATTAAGGAGAATCGCAAAAAAAGCAACATTTTGTTGATTTTTGAAAAACTGGAGCACCTGAATCGGATCAAACGGGTGATTTATTTGCGATTCCGTATCTAGTTCTGATTCTAAACCGCTGATGGAAAGCACACAATCACAGTACGTGATTATTTATATTATTAATAAATAATTATTTATGATTACATTTTAAGGGAGAATTAGAATTTACATTATCAGACAAGGATCAGTCATATTTCACTGGGGTAATTACCGGAGTAAGTGCTTTGTTTACACATAAGAAGTCTTATTAAAACCTTGCTTGACGTGGTTTTGCTTGTTATTTGATGATCAAACTGCACCAGAAAGATCTGAATTCACACTGAATTATTTCTAGCTCTTGATACAGCATATTAAACTCCAAGATCAGTTCACATCACATTTTTTTCCCCGTACCACTGCAGCATTGCAGCATTGCAGCAGTGTGTTGTAGCTTTTTGGGCAGTTTGAGCTTAAAGTTTTCTGTTGACTGGCCTGAAACTCCTTGATTACATCATCAGTACATTAAAGTTGTAGTCTCTATGTTATCACTGGTTGAAAGTTGATCACTACTCTTGTTCCCTGGGGTAATGTTTCCTCCTTACAGTGGCTATAATCAGGACATGGCGACTGGTACTTGATGTAGTGCAGTCTTTAGAGTCTGTGATACAAGCCATCAGTAAAGGAAAGTAAGCCTCAACATTTGTGGTGAAAGTAAAGCTTGCTCCACTGTTGTTTCAGCAAAGGGCTTTGTCAGTTGTTCAAACCTCTTTTTTTTGTGGAGGGATGTTGTGAAAACACTCGTTCTGGCATTTTTATTGCAAATTATTCATTTTATTATCGATTTCTCTCTTTGGCCCTTGGAATAAATAATAAATATTCTTATCGCAGTTTGTGGTCAATAAATTGTATATTTGGACTGTGGAGGTCATTGAGACCTGAAAGTTATGTAGTATATTATTTTCCATAGTACTTTTTTTTTATTTCAAGTGGTCAAGAAAAAATGTTTCTCATGAATTTGCCTCTTTAAGATGCTTTTGGAGGTATGACTAACTATATGGCTGGCTTCTGCGGAAGACAAACGAAGATATTTTGAGGAGTTTGGTTACCAAACGCTTGATTTTTATGAACAAAAAACACTAAAGAATTTCTCAAAGAAGCTTCCTTTGTGTTCTACATAGGCTTATAAAAATCATACAGGTTTAGAACGGCATGAGGGTGAGTAAATGATGACAGAATATTCGATTTTTGGGTATAACTAATACGATTCAAAAACTGTAAAGTCAAAATAAGGTACTACAAGCTAATTAATAAGGTACTGTTTTATATATTAATGCATGCTATTCTAAATGAAAACAAATAAAAATTGGTCATTTTAATAAGCGGGGCTGCTTTGTATACAGGGGTTACCGCCGGGGTAACCATTATATTTCTGCTGTTCCATAAGCGCCACATATGGCAATTCAATTTCTTTTTAATTCAGCCCAAAGCAAATATTGACTAGACTAGTTGGTGTTACTGTTTTTACAAGGTGTTCGGCCATACACTGATGATGACATTACTTGGCCACCACGGCACTGCCCCCACTGTCATATAGCTTTTTTTTATAGAAATAAAAACCATGTAGTTCAAGTCAAGTCATCCTCATTTATATAGCGCTTTTAACAATGTAGATTGTTTCAAAGCAGCTTTACAGAGATAAAAATATCATTTAAGGTAACAGAGATTAGTTTGGTTTTATAGCAGTTCTTGAATAATGTTATTTTCCAGCTAAAGTTAGTTTTGATTGATTCACTTCCGTCGAAATGATCATTTGTTATTAACTTAGGGGCCGCTAAGACGACACCGCTCTCTCTAAACAGACTTTAAACGCGAACCTGTGATAAACGCTGATGGCGTTCACATGAGCATTAAGAATTGATTCTATAGTTATGTTCAATTGGACAACAGATGCTACATTTATAAACTGAAAGTGTCTGCTGGGGTCCATAGCACAGTGCAGCATGAGTCAGATTTCACTTATCATGTGATGAGACTAAGGAGAGGACGATGGCGCCATGGTGGAGGATTTGGCGCGTGTAACATCCTGAGCATAATTGACAAATAAATAAATGTAGAATGTGCAGTCAATACGGCCGCTGTTTATTTTATTTTGTGTTTTGCTTTGCTTTCTTTTTTTTAGCCAATGAATCTCACCATTGCATACAACACTTGAGACTCTGGCTTCTTTGACACTTACTAAGAAATAAGTAGGAGAGACAAAATTGTGTCAAGTTCAACAGTACTATAAGCTTTAACACAACTAATACCTTAACTTGCTTCGTTTGAGCTTCCGCAAGAACCAATGAGGTTCATTCTCGTGTTACGCATCACGTTTGAGCTTCTGCAAGAACCAATGAGGTTCATTCTCGTGTTACGCATCACGTTTGAGCTTCTGCAAGAACCAATGAGGTTCATTCTCGTGTTACGCATCACGTTTGAGCTTCTGCAAGAACCAATGAGGTTCATTCTCGTGTTACGCATCACGTTTGAGCTTCCGCAAGAACCAATGAGGTTCATTCTCGTTACGCATCACGTTTGAGCTTCCGCAAGAACCAATGAGGTTCATTCTCGTGTTACGCATCACGTTTGAGCTTCCGCAAGAACCAATGAGGTTCATTCTCGTGTTCCGCATCACGTTTGAGCTTCCGCAAGAACCAATGAGGTTCATTCTCGTTACGCATCACGTTTGAGCTTCCGCAAGAACCAATGAGGTTCATTCTCGTTACGCATCACGTTTGAGCTTCCGCAAGAACCAATGAGGTTCATTCTCGTTACGCATCACGTTTGAGCTTCCGCAAGAACCAATGAGGTTCATTCTCGTTACGCATCACGTTTGTGCTTCCGCAAGAACCAATGAGGTTCATTCTCGTGTTACGCATCACGTTTGAGCTTCCGCAAGAACCAATGAGGTTCATTCTCGTGTTCCGCATCACGTTTGAGCTTCCGCAAGAACCGATGAGGTTCATTCTCGTGTTACGCATCACGTTTGAGCTTCGCAAGAACCAATGAGGTTCATTCTCGTGTTACGCATCACGTTTGAGCTTCTGTAAGAACCAATGAGGTTCATTCTTGTTACGCATCACGTTTGAGCTTCTGTAAGAACCAATGAGGTTCATTCTTGTTACGCATCACGTTTGAGCTTCTGTAAGAACCAATGAGGTTCATTCTTGTTACGCATCACGTTTGAGCTTCCGCAAGAACCAATGAGGTTCATTCTCGTGTTACGCATCACGTTTGAGCTTCCGCAAGAACCAATGAGGTTCATTCTCGTGTTACGCATCACGTTTGAGCTTCTGCAAGAACCAATGAGGTTCATTCTCGTGTTACGCATCACGTTTGAGCTTCCGCAAGAACCAA